TTTGTCACTCATATTTAAATAATATTATTTTCTAATATTTTATCAAATAAATTATTCAAATAAACTTCCATTTTGAAATTTCAGGGGGGGGGGGGGAGCAGTGCTTCCTTGCCTCATCCTGCAGACGCCCATGTGGATGAGGTAGATTTTACGTAACCCAAAATAGCAACTAAGAAAGGTACAGCAGTAACGAAGCACGTAATATCGCTTGTTTTCAATTTTGATTCGTTCTATAGTAATCGGTGAATGTGTAAAAAAACTGAACAATTCCAAATTATCGGAAAGGCTGAAAATGGGCAGTGGCTACGATCAAAAGAAACATTAGCCATAAAGAACTTAGCACTTGAATTAAACAGGAAGTCCAGCACCGGTGAGCTAAAGTTAAAAGTGTGAGAAGAGAAAAAAATTTGCATGTTTGAAATTATCTTGTGTTATTTATTTAAATATTAGATTCTATGAAGTTAAGTGGGAAAACAAACACGTCACCCAGGCTTGACATATTTCTGACTGTACTGTTACCTATATGCTTCCAAAAGGCCTGACATATGTCTGACTGTACTATTGCCCATCTGCTTCCAAAAGGCCTGACACATGTCTGACTGTACTGTTGCCCATATGCTTACAAAAGGCCTGACATATGTTTGACTGTGCTGTTACCCATATGCTTCCAAAAGGCCTGACATATGTCTGACTGTGCTGTTACCCATATGCTTCCAAAAGGCCTGACACATGTCTGACTGTACTGTTGCCCATATGCTTCCAAAAGGCCTAGTTTTATATAATGTTGTTCAGGAACAAATAGCACATCTATGGTAAGTCTGTATTTTATTACAGCAAGTTATTGTCGAACAAAAGCTTAACACCATCTAAAAGGATGGGTTAATAATGTATGAATACCTACCTGGTCCAATTTGGACTCGAAACTTGGCTGCCTCTCTCTCATCTGGGGCTTCTGCGATTCCTGTTACGGATTCTTCTTTATTGCTGTATTGAGGGAAACCAATGTGTAACACAACTGTATGCAAAAAATTTCCCTGCATGTAGCAAATGTACACGTTATTTACCTGCAAATGATATCGTTCTTCTCCATTGGATATCTAGATGAGTACTAGATGCTGCAAATGATATCGTTCTTCTCCATTGGATATCTAGATGAGTACTAGATGTTTTAGTTTTTGAATGCTGCTCTAACTGTGGTGTTTATAGAGATATTTACATAGAACAAGCCCCCCAGTGGCACAGCGTGGTTGGCGGAGAACAGACAGCCCATCGTGTAGCTTTGTGCTTAATTACAAACAACCGACCAACAACAACATAGGGCAATGTGTTATTATAATTCTCCTCTTATACTTGTTCTTTATTTTATTGTGTTATCAACAGTTCAGGGTGAGGAGGGTTATAGTGATATTTTTTTTTACCTTCTTCTTAACGTGATATTTGTTACAAATCCTGTTAATTCTGGAGACTTGGCAGTCTATGAGGCTTATTTTTACATTGTTAGGGTGACTTGGTCGGTAGTCGAGGTATTTACCAGTATCTGTTGGTTACCTGCTGTGTATGCGTCTTGGTAACCACCACGTTTAGGAATGGGAGTTTGTTATGTTCAGTCTGAAGTGTGGATTGTATCACTGGATGCTGTTTGTGAATTCTGGAATCTTGTCTAAAGTGTGTTTGTGTGACCATATCAACAACGTCAACATATCTGAATCGAATCTCGGATTTCACCTGAGGGTGATTTATTTGAAATCTATATGGAATATATAACTGGGAAGACCCTGGAGGGTGAATAGTAAACAATGTTTCCTAACAAGAAGATCCAACATCGATTACGACTCTTTCCATCACATACACCGTAATCAGGAGATTTTTATCATTATGTAGCTTGAAATATCCGTTTGTTTTATCTCAAGTAAACCATAGATACTGCCCCAAGTATAAGAAAGGTTTATGTGTCAGTGTATATTTAGGAGAGTCAGGGGCCCTCAAATAATTTAAACTTCAAAGTTCGTTTCTACAGATAATATAGTGAGGTTTTCTCTATTGAAAGAAATGTGTGTTGAAACATAAAGGGTTCACAATCATGTTCCAAACTGAAACCAGAATGTAGGGTAGTTTCTTTAACACGTGTTTAACATAAAATGTTGAAACAACATAAAGTGTTTACAATCATGTTCCAAACTGAAACCAGAATGTAGGGTTGTTTCTTTAACACGTGTTTAACATAAAATGTTGAAACAACATAAAAGGTTTACAATCATGTTCCAAACTGAAACCAGAATGTAGGGTTGTTTCTTTAACACGTGTTTAACATAAAATGTTGAAACAACACATCTAGTACACATCTAAATATCCAATGGAGAAGAACGATATCATTTGCAACATCTAAGTACACATCTAAATACCCAATGGAGAAGAACGATATCATTTGCAACATCTAGTACACACCTAAATACCCAATGGAGAAGAACGATATCATTTACAACATCTAGTACACATCTAAATACCCAATGGAGAAGAACGATATCATTTGCAACATCTAGTACACATCTAAATATCCAATGGAGAAGAACGATATCATTTGCAACATCTAGTACACATCTAAATATCCAATGGAGAAGAACGATATCATTTGCAACATCTAGTACACATCTAAATATCCAATGGAGAAGAACGATATCATTTGCAACATCTAGTACACATCTAAATATCCAATGG